ATTATATGATTTTTAGTCACAATTTGATTCTTCTCATTTGTTCTGCTTACAAAAATGATCAAACAATAAATATTTTAAAACAAATATATTTACATAATATATTTTTCATAATATAATATATTACATAATATATTACATAATATATTATGAAAAATATATTATGTAAATATATTTGTTTTAAAATATTTATTGTTTGATCATTTTTGTAAGCAGAACAAATGAGAAGAATCAAATTGTGACTAAAAATCATATAATTTCAATTTGAAAAAGTTGAGTCGACTATGAAATTACCTCCGCAGAGGCTCTTAAGATTAAATATAGATTGTTAGTCTACATTTCTTTCGAAAAAAACAACTTTTATTTAAAACAACTTTTATTTAAAACATTTTTAGAAGAAATGCGTTATTTCCGAAGTATTTTAATTCATTCTAAAAGATGTAGAAGCGCTATGGTTAATATTAAGCAGTTATTTTGGCATAAAAAATTTTTTTAATAACCTAAATCAAAATCCAAATAATAAGAAAAGTTGACGAGTGATGTGTACCCGATAAATGCAAAAATTTGTAATTGAACTATAAATTGTATTTATTCAAAATTTTGGGTTTTTAAAAATATTTATTCACAAAAAACTATAATTATTTAAATAACTATGATAGTATTCATATTTATTTAAGTATTCAAATAAAATATAAACTGAAAAAGAAAGTTCTAATAAGCAATCGTTACCTTTTTACTATAACCGGCATTTTAATAATTTTAAGTAAAAAAAAAAAAAGAATTTTATTTAGATATTTTTGTTGTTGTAATATTTAGATTTAATGAAAAAACTTTGAAATTTAAACAAATATTTTAAAAAACAATATATTTTTTATTTACAAGTACAATCTATTTGATGACACATAATTTTATGAAAGTCTTCATTTAAGATAACATAATTTTGTATAATAAGTTTTTACTCGAAATAACATATCATTTTTATCCTCCTTTATTAAACCGTGCTGCGTCACTAGTCTGCCATCTGGCATCACTAATAGAGGATTTCTCTATTGGTTTCATTGTTTTTACAGATTTCTGTTTTCTCTTACAAGCTATGTGCAAATAATACAGAATAAAAATGAACGCAAAAACGAAAATATTCGTAATCATATTTAAAAAATATTCATTCAAATGGAATAAAAAAGTATTCATTTCTTGACAATTAAAAATAAAGTGTATTCGAATAGGTATTTTCATTTATTTTTTTTTCATTTATTAGAATATTAGGAGTATTCATCAGATAAGATATTATTTAAGATATTAAATAATTTTTGTTAAAAAGACTAATAAAAGATAACAGGAAAGAATTAATGTCACGATAAAAAATTTAAAACTTCATTAATATATATTGCACATTGCGTGCAAATATCGAGTTGAATGACAGTGATAATTATAAGAAAATTTGACAGTCTTAGCAAATGTATTACGTACGTAATACACAAGTAACTCACTTTTCTAAATTATCAGATTTGTGAGATTTGTGTACCAAGCTCTTTAACGTTTCTTCGCTGTTATTGGATAACTGCGACATACTAGACAGGCTGGAAGACGACATGAGTTTTTTCGAACGTTTCAAGTCTAATCTTCCTACTACATTGGTATTTCTTTGGGACATCTTAATTCATCTGAAATAAAACAGAAGACCACACATAAAATTGTACTATATGTGCAAGGAAATGGCATATGATGATAACATAAGTATTGATGTATAGGTATATCTATATACCCAGGCAATACACAACATTTATAAAGCATTTACAAAATATTTGTAAGATTTATTAGAATATTTACAAAATATTTTGTAAATATTCTAATAAATCTTATAAATGAATAATTCATAAAATATATTGACTGTTAAATATTCTGTGTAAGTAGACACAAAGACAACTCCACACCAGAATACATGAGCATTATTCTGATATATATTAATAAGAAAACAGGATAGCCCTCGGTAATTACATTTTATTTCAAACACAAATGTAAATGGCATGATGTAAAAATATTATATAATAAACTATCTTATAATAAAAGATTGATTTCAGAAATGGTGCATAAAAATACAGAATTTTGGATTAAATAAGCAAAATGATAAGGAGTCATTATCGGACATGTATTTCTCCATCTTACAAAAGTTATTCCCTTTCTAAAGCTCCTTTTCTTACTCCCCTCTGTTTACATTTTCCCACTGTCCTAACTGTTTGAGGAGCAGACTTTTGACATAAGTTTTGTCCAAAATTTAATTTTTCTAAATTAGAGATGGCGTAGTGTTGAAAGACTCAGATTATAAGCCACTCTGAAATGTTCAGAAAGCATTTTTCATCGTTAATTTATATGTCGAAAAAATATAAATATTTCGAAGTGCATTATATTTTTTAACTAGAGACAAACAAAATGTATTCGTTTAACATTTTTAACAATTGTTGGATCTTTAATGATCTTAAATAATCCAATGTGAATTTTATACACACACGCGCGCGCGCGCACACACACACACACACACGCACGCACACGCACGCACACACACACATGTATACGTATTAGCATGCATATATATAACACCATATTTGTAAATAGGAGGTAGTAATAGATGGTGATAAGGCTGTGATTTAGAAATAACGTATTGAATGAGAGTATATAACATTAGAATTAGATATAACAAAAAAAAGCGGATAAAGCGAAAAGAAATGAAGTAAAGAAGCGAGTCAGAAAAGTAGGAAAGTAAGGATAGGCTTAAAAAATTTTTGTAATAATACATGTGTGATAGCACGCGGACGAGGTATGGAAGAGTGAATAAGTTAAGTATTCATGTAAACCAAGTTCCCTTCTTGGCTGTATATGCTGAAGTGTAATAAATTCTATTCTATTCTATAATACCATATTTGTAATCCTTCAAATTGCACGCCAAATTGGTTTTCCGGACTTATAAACGCAATTAAATTACTGTAATAATATCACAAATTAAATTAAATTGACAAGCAATTTTTTATAATTTGACGCTTAATCAGGCATCATATTAGAAAGATGTTAATATGTTGAAAAACTAAATTTGTAAATGAATTTATTGCGAAAAATATTATCGCGGCAGGCAGTGGAACCAGGATCTCTTGTATTCCGTACAAGATCCTAAGCTTTTAGACTATCAAGGCAATTACGTATACGGAATACAAGAGATCTAGATTCGATTCCCGGCAGAGATAATATTTTTCACAATAAATTTATTTACAGTTTTCAGTGTATTAACATCTTTCTAATATAATGCTTGATTGAGCATCAAATTATTAACAATTGTTTTAATAAAAGGCTACGAATTGCAACAGGATGATAGTTGTTAACAATTAAAAATGTTTCAAATCTAATATACAACATATAAAATACAAACATTTCAATCTCTTTATCGGGTCATCTTCAGTGTCGTACAACATTAATCCGCAATTCAACAATTTTACAAAATTTTCAATCTTTACAGTATCCACACCATATTAATTTTTCCAATAATTATAGATAGTATATCATGACAAATAAAGAAGTGCCTCATTGCAACTGCATCAGTCATTAAGTTGTCGTATCGACTTGCACAGATCGATAGACGTTAGTTATTTCAAAACTTAGGTCATATATGAGAAGTCAGAAGTTTCCCAATTGCAATAAAATTCGCAATTCACAATAAAAGTATTCATTGCCACCAGAAGGAGATCATTATGTTTGAAAAATTCAACTCATTGTTGTTTTAAATTTATTTGTTAATTGCTGCAATTATCACTCGTAGCCTTTTATTAAAATAATTTTTTATTACTTGTGTGAGTTTTAGTTTATATTATTATATTAAAAATTGCTTTTGTCAATTTAATTTAATTGATATTATTACAGTATATGATCTTATTACAGTGCGTTTATAAGTCCGAAAAACCAATTCGGTGCGTTCGAATAGCTACAAATATAGTATATATATATATGCACGCACGCATTTGTTTGTATGTCAAATTCACATGGGCAAGGAATCAAGACAATAACGTATTACAGCCACTATAAGTATTTTTATGATAATTTAATATCAAAATTTAAGTTTTAACGATTTCTCTTCGATTTAAAGGTATGTTTTGTGAAAGACAGCTGTCTCGGCTTCACGCTTTCTGATTTCGAACGCAATTATGCAACGCAATTAAGGATGTTGATAGACATATATAGTATACACATATATGTATATATTCATATTTATACTTTAAACAAACTACATACATATAAAAACTGTACGTGTTCATAATATTCTGTTTTTATTAAACAACATATTTTTAAAAAACCAAAGAAAAAAGGGGTTACGAGCCAAAAATTATTATATAAAATAAAATAAACCGTCGAAATATAGAAGTTGAACAAAAATAAAAGAAACAAATATATCGTTAAGTAAAAATTTGATCTAATATGCTAGCAATAAACAAACGTTTCGATCACACTCGGATCATTTTCAATGTTAAACATACATATTTATTACAGTCGGTAAAAACAAAACAATAAATTTTCTATTTCGCTCTCTAAAACAGACGCTGGTAACATGAAAAACGAATATCATAATGTTCACGATTATAATATATATCGGAAAAAGAAACATACGCATAATAATAGCTACTTGCAGTCAATCATTGATCATAAATGCTTATACTGTCAATAGTAGTAAAATGATAAGCTTAAATGTCCTTAGATTTGAGGTAAAAACGGAGAATACATGAAATGAATCCGGTCCTTAAATGTAACAAACCCAAAGTTTCTTAAAACAAAAAATAAAAGATTTTAGATACAGTCAGTTGAAAATAGAGACAATGCGAAAAGAAATAAAACGATGTAATGTCTCCTCGGTGTTATGAGACATAATCTTTATTATTATGGGCCTCCTACAATAGCCATAAATTAGAAGTCAGAAGCTAAAAATTGACGACTGTGATTAGTCAATTTTTAGTTTCTGACTTCTGATTAACGGCTTATTGTAGAAGGCCCATTACTAATAGATAATACAACATATTTTTATCATTTATTTATTTTATTTATTATTTTTATTGTCATAAGTTAAAATTTGAAAAATAATATGTAAAAAAATTGTAATGTTTTTGTACAAATACTTTAAGTATTCAAAATAATTTACACAAAATTTCA